ATGCAAACGGGTCACTGGCACGAAAACTTGCACTCCTTAATTTTAAAAAATATTGTATTGCACGAACATTTTTCATTCGTACCTAGCAATGTAGTACAACAAATCCTATTGTTTTTAACCTCGTTTAATTAAATTAAGTAGGTACATGCTATTATTATAAGAATAAACAAAGCGCGCTTACAAAATGCAACACCTTTTCATTGTTGGTGAACAAATATTAGGACAATGGCGTTAATTGCACGCATTACTTGTATTGAAAATATACAAGCTTAATTAACATTCATCATAGTTTCATAGTATATCTAAAAGGAAATTGGCAAGGAAATCATGTAAATAACGGGCGGGATGCATATAAAAATAAAAAGTAAAAATATTCATATAATTTCCTCTTCTCAAAATGCATAGGTACGTGCTTTATTCGCCATGAAATTGGGGAAATAAAACTTTCTACGTTTTCTACGAATTAACCTCTTTTAGGTCGGATTATGCTCAAAATACGCTTCTGAAGTTTGTTAACTGTTCAGCAAAAATGTTGCACTTCCTTTAAATCAATCACTCGTTCGCAGATCCACGATCCGTTGCCCGATCCGAGGTTTATCGCTTAAAGCAATTTCGAAGCAATCAAATGCCTTAGGTAATTAAATATAAGTCAAAGTTAAAATTTCATTAGCGAATGAATTAATTACTTAAGATTGACTCTTGAAAGTTTGAGATTGTGTAGGTACTAAATTCGAAATTTATTGGATACCTTTAGACTTGTCAGCTTCGCCATTTTCAAAAATAGTTTATATCAAAATGTCGACAATAAATCAGGGATCTATATCCTTTTGAAACCAACGAAGTCGTAAATTACGGGAATCGAGAAAATCGACAGGAAGAAAATGTTGACGGGAAAGGAACCGTGTGTAATTAACTGATTTATGAAACAATTTGGATTAGCATTTATTTACTAACTGCTATTATTAACATTCTGAATTAATCAAAACAGTAGATGTGGCTTGCGTTCATAAACTGCTTTTTACGATTTTTATAAAGAGTTATAAATCCGCAGTTTTGCATAGATTGTGAATTCACGGCCCAAGCTTCTGGTCAATTTTCTGATTTTGGTTGCCATTTCTCTGTTTCTTACAATTTGTCTGCACAAGCTGGCGGTGTAGCACAAGGGCATCAGACAGTTCTACAGTTTTTACTATGAATACAAGATGCGGCTTGTAAATCTGGCGGTGAGAATGAAGGTGACTTTTGCGTACCTATCTAGCTTGTATCCAACGTGTTTGTTCATTTGTTTAGTTGTAAAAAAGATTAGTTCCTAACATGAAATTGTTTATCAATTTGTTTTGTTAATTCATTTGTGACGGTTCAGATTTGATTTATTGGGTTTTCGTTTATTTTTATAAATGATTAATGTAATCGTCCGAAGTTAAGGATGCCTTTTGTTCGTTCGCAGCCCTCATGACGACATTGGAATGAGGCACTAAAGGTCAATAAAGTCGTTACGAATGATGTCCTCCCAAAGTGCAACTTTAAGAAGACAGTTTTAATTGCCAACAGTTAAACGCCCCCTGTGGTTATTTTCTGAGCGTTTGGTTGGTCTGGCACTAATTGATTCTCGTGTCAGCGACAACACCAAAATTGAAATGGTTAAAAACCGACAGAATCCACCAAAGGCTAATGCTAAGGTAAATTGATTAAGCATGGGAGTCCTTTGGAGCCACATCACACAGCGAACGACAGAACATTTTGACATCCTTCTTAAAAACAGAAAAGAAAACGCTACTTCCTAAGAAACGAATCCCATCCTTAAAGATAACAACAAACAAGTAACTATCGTTGCATTATGACATCCATCAGGTCGAATAAGAAAACCAAAAATCGTTTCATTTTGCGGCCTAACAGCGATGCTAGATCGAATAACACTGAATAACCTTAGCAATAATCATTACACAAAGGAAAAATAGCAAAAATTTCAATGGAAGGGAGGGAACAATTTCTGGAAAACAAGGTTTTATGGGATCGACACAAAAAATTCGTTAATAATTATTATTTAAAAAATGTTACGAGTGCCACAACAATTTTAATAATTGATTCAAAAAAGGTGTCTGGAATCTGCAAAAAAGAGAAAAAAGAACAATTTATAACTTACAGGACTAGAATTTTATTCCAGTGCTAGAATTATCAAGGTTCCTGGCGACTCGTTTTTTGGAAACTCAATAACGCAGAAAACGTGCTCTTTTCAATAGTATACAGATTATCCGTGTAAAGGAAATTATATTATGAATAAAAAAACTGCGCATCAGTCGTTTATAAGAAAAAATCATGATTGACTAAACAAATGAAAAGGACCAAGTGAAGTAAGGGGGATAGAATATCGTTTTGAAACAGTAATTTTTTATTAATTGGGGTCAAATGTAGCTGAAGGATACGTTTATGCTTATGTAGAGTACATGGAGAGGACTGTCATATCTTTCACAGACAAAGAAAAGGCGAGGGGGCCAAAGAGTTCTATCGATCGAGAAATTGTTTTCTATGAATATTAAAGTTTACTTTTAAAAAAACCTAACGTTATTAAAATAAGTCGTCTACAAAAAAGTAGCCAACGAAAATATTGATAGAAAGATGAGTGTGTATATTGCATAGAATTCAATAACTTGAGTGTCACACAGTAAGGAATGGATAAAATAAAAATAAACTGCATCAATATAGACAACGAGCCACAAGGTCACTTCCGGTCGACGAGTATTGACCAAAATTGTCCCTTGACCATTGTCTATCTGTTACTGAAAACAGTACTGGAAAATTGGAAACCGTTCGCAAGTTATCATGTACGACGGGCGGACGGTCTGACGAACAGAAAGTTCAAAATCATGCACTCGCTTTTTCAATAGTAAGCCCTAATGTGAAAAGAAAGTTTTTCGGCAATAGCAGTACAAATACTTTAACAACGTTCGGCTCCCTCGCCATACTTTTGTGATTTCAAACTGTATTTTGGATACATTCCATGCATCTGTGTGGATTATACCCAGAAATTAAGATCTCTTTTGAATTAGAATGTGAGAAATCAAAAATCGTCCGAAAAACCTTTTTTATGATAAAAGTGAAAAATAAAAATTCAGAACAGCAAAAATAAAGTACGGAAGCGCTGAAGGACCATCAAACCTTATTTTATCTCAACCGGTCGACTTTGTATCTCGACCGATCGATTATTTATCTCGACCGATCGATTATTTATCTCGACCGGTCGACATTTTATCTCGACCGTTCGACTTTTTATCTCGAACGGTCGGCTTTAGACTGCTAAAGCGTTTTCTCTTTGCTAAAAAATAACACCTTAAAAGAGCAAAATACAAGAAAACAATACTTCCTTCTTCTAAAATCAGTTTGGTACAAAAAGAACGTAATGGAAGTTAAACGAATGACGCCGTGTAGGCAAAAATGTAAGCGCAACAATAATTGAAAAAAGAATCCAAGGAAGAGGGACAGAAGTTGCTAAAAGATTTCTATCAACTAAAAAATTGCTATCCCTAAGAAAGACTGTAACGAACAAAACTAGTCGTCAGATAAATGTAGGGAGAAATGGCTAAATAGCACAAACTAACAAATGGAGGAATCTTGAAAATTACTTGTTCAAAGAGGGGAAGGGTCGAAAGTTACTAGGAATGTTATAACTTTGCTGATCTCAATCGTGTACAACATACTGGATCTTGCTTGGAATTCTTTGAAAATACGGAAGGGGCCGGAGGGATCGAAAATTATGGGAGTGACCGTTGCATATCAATAAAAATTAAAAAATAAGGGTGCGTAGAATCAAAAATTTTTGAAGGAATCACATCGTTCTCAAAAAAGTTACGCGCAACAAAAACTAAAAAAGCAAGAGACAGGGTGAAACATTGCTAATAGAATTGCTTTTCTAAGTGGGATGCGTTCTATCTGAAATAACCTTTTTGGAAAGTAGATCTAGATAACAGTAAATAGCGAAAATTTGAGAAAATGTGAAAACAGGAGAAAAAAAGTCCAATAAAATATGCCGTTAAATGGTCGAAAGTTGCATGGAAAAGAAATAATTTTTGCCAATTTGAGTGCGACTGGTCAACAAAAACTTAGGTATGAATAATAAATAAAGAAAATTGAAGACCAATTTCGCCTGAAAGGTTGCATGATATATACCAAATGACTTTTTGTATGAGAGTTGCATGTTGTATGAGAATGTAAAATTAGAGGGTTGCCCAGAATCCGAAAGCGCGCGACAAAAATTGAAAAAGAAGCAAGAAATTTGCGATCGAAAATCATTTAAAAGAATCACCTCTAAAACCGTTTCCTATACCGATTAGATATGTAAAGTATGTGGGGGTGGAAAATTCATTTTCGGCTCAATCCTGTGCACACTATATAAAACTGAGCATCCCTGGTGATGCATTTCCTGATTTGGTAAACAGTTCTCTTTTTACATGTTTAATAAGATTTGCATATGGCATGGTGTCCTAAGGGTGCCGGCGATTTTAATAAACAAGGCAATCGGCCAAAGAAGTGCGTTACAATCCTTACAGTGCGATCTTGCTCTATTATGCACATCCTTTGAGGCGGAAAGAAGAGACGAATAAAATGAAAGCAAAACCTTGTATATGACAAGAAATTATTATCCCGCTCTCGCAAACAGAAAATGTATTTTATGTGCGACGTTAGTCTTCGCAGGCAAAAAATAAATTCGGAACTTTATGAGGATACGGGAGAGATATCCGAACCACGCCTAAATTTTGCAAATAGCCACCTATACATAAATCACACGCTGCTGGACATCAAATTTCGGAAGTTTACAGTCCCCTAATTTATTAAACAGCAAAACGAGGTGAACTGTAAAATTATGTCTCGCATTATTACCGTTCACCTCACAATAAGGTAATTGCATAACGCTTGTTCAATTGCATAGGTACTGTATAACATTCTTTTAAGAATCCCCAGTTATGGAATCTGTAGCCTCAAGCAACGTCTTGTTGAGGATAATCCTTTCACTAACATGGTTTGAAGATGCGCTCTTAGGCTTCAGTCAGCGTCCGACCTGCAATCATGATAGGTGTTAGTGTATTTATTATAATAGGTGAGTACAAAAAAGAATTCGCTCGCCCGAGGCGTACGAGGATTCTCCCATTTAGTGCAGTGATTTAATTTTGTGCGTTTTTTTTCCCGCCAAAATCCGACGAATTTTGTGCGCGATTTTAAGGGGTATGTAATTAAATTTAGAGGTATTCTCAACTAGTGGAATGTATGTCAAATGCGAATTGGGATTTGCGAGGGTGCTCTTTTGCCTGCGTGAAATCTGTTATATAATTATTTGATACAGCGCTCTCTCAAGTGAAACAATAATGCAATTATCTTTAGTTCTCAGGCTTGAACCGTGCCTGAACCTAATCAAGTTGCAAAATTGTATTTTTTCCAGTTGCCTCCGTAATTCCGTTAGGATAAAAACGAAATCGAACTGTTTTCGCTTAATTCGCTCCCTCCGCTGGTACAGTTAAGATAAATTAGAAATTTTACGACGTTCATGTGAATACCATTAATTACTTATTTGGCATCGCAATCACGAACTAAGTTTCTCCATACTTGTAATACAACAAAGGGGTTTTAATTAACGATAACTTGTAAAGGCATTGTGCAAAGCTGCCTTGGATTACTATCAGTTCGTCGCTAATTTTAATTTTAAAACGCTTTATAACAATAAAATTTAATATTTCAGCGGTGTGCGCGGAATGGAGTTCCGCTCAATTTCTCAATCACCGGCCGTATCCAACTTACAGCTTAGAGAACATGCCGGATACGGGTTTCTCATGTAGGGATAAAATTTTAGGAGGCTATTACGCTGATCCTGAAACGCAGTGCCAAATGTTCCATGTCTGCGTAAAAGTCTCGGGTGTTGGTGTAAGTTTTATTGCGCTAACTATGGCTGTGTTTCACGGAATTATTGTGTAGGTACAAGATTTTCGTTTCCTTTGCTCAAATGGCACCGCTTTTGATCAGGATCATCAGATCTGTGCAGATTGGCAGGACGTGGATTGCGATGCTACAACGCTTTACTATTCGAGCGACAACTTCGACCTTTACCGTATCGGTTCAGGTACTTTCACTTTCGCAATCTTGGCATCGTTTAATATTTACGTTTTCGTTTAGGTTTTGAATCGAAAGCTGTGAAATACGGTGAAGATGAAGAACCGTTCTCGCTGCAGCGCGCTGAGACGGGTGACGTAAGGATAAACCGCGAGCATCAAGCGCAGAGAATTAATCAACAGCGCGAGAACTACAATTATAGGCCCTCTAACAATCAGCAACATAATACTAATCGTAACTCCTATAATAGCAATAATAGCGAAAAGGATATCTTTAAGAGCTCCAGCAGCTCGAATTTCTTTAACAACAGAAATGGTGGTAAAGAAACCGATGATGACGATTATGAATCTGGCGGAAACCAAAATCAGGATAATGACCAATACCAAAGGCGAAAATTATCCGGACGCAAGCAGAATCGGCGGCCTATTAACGAAAATTCGACTGAGAGACCTCGACCGAATGGCTTCTCAAACAATTTTGCCGGTAGTAGTTATTTGCCATCTAGCACAACTGTTCGTTCAACCCCCGTTGTCACTGAAAACCCCCAGTATAACCCAAGAACTCGCCCACGCGCTCGAGTTAGCCCCCAATACAACAACGCCGATAACTTCCGCCAATCGACAGGTAAAGGGTACGAAGATGATGGTAGATACCGCGGAGAGAATAATAATAATAATAATGGGCAGTATAATCGTAATTTCCCAACTACCCAATACGCAGTGAGTACCCCCACGCCATTTAAACAGTATAATGGAGAAAATAGTACACCCAGATATAATTTTAATCCCTCGACTTCATCGGCTCCACAAACTCAGGCGCGATCGACGGAAAACTACCCCTCAGCATTCAGTCAACCCCAACAAAGATACCAGAATGCTCAAAGGGTAACTGAAAATTACCCCTCAACTAACTTAAATAAACAAGAAAACTACCAGACAGCTTCTGTGCAAACGCAAACGCAGACTAGAGAAGCAGAAATCTACCGCAATACGGCTCAGCAGCAACAACAGCAGCAATATTACAAGGATCAATACGAAACGACGAAAGTGAAACCGTATGAAAGTTATCCCACCGCGTATAATACTCAAACGAAAAAACCAACAACCCCATTTAAACAAGCAGAGAATTATCCAACAACGTACTCGCCAAAACAAACCAAAGATTTTAAGAACGTACCTTATACGCAACAATCGAGCACATACTCTCCGGAAACCAACCCTACCTACACCCAAGGAAATCAGCAGCCAACAACCTACAATAGGCCAAGTGTTTCTATCCAACACACCCCTCCGGTAACTAACCATCAGCAGCAGGACACAGTAAAAACAACATTCAACACAAGTCCGCCCAGTAGTCAACCAACAATTAATCAACACCCGACTTTCAAACAAACACCAATCTACAACTCGGCACCAATTCAGCGTCAAACACCCCAATACACCCAATACACACCGACCGTTCCGCGCATCACAACCCCATACCACTCATCAACCACCCCCGCAATTCCTCGCCGGTCGAATCGCTTCGACGAAACGCAATACGACGACGGATCCTACAACTCCAAATACGACAACGAGGACGACAAGCGCGACGAGGAATTCCTGAAGGCGGCCCACAGCATAAACATCGCGAGCAGCCGAAACGAGTACAACCAAAACAGCAGGAACGCGCCGTCGACGACGCAAAAACCGCGACCGTTCTCCGTCACGCCCGCCCCCTACAAACCGACCGAGAACCTAACGACCCACAGGCCGAACGTCAGCAAACAATCGCCGCCGCCACCGGCGACGAACAATTACAGAAGTACAGCGCCCGCGAAAAAGGTTAAGGATGTCAGTTACGATTACGCCTATTACGACACGAACGTCGGCAGCGATCACGAGTACGATATAGCGGTGGATATCGAAAAATCAGTTAAAAGTAAAAAACAATAGATTTAGTATTATTAGTATAGTGATATCTTTAATTTCATGCATCTCTCTATTTAAAAATGTTTTACCTTGAAACTGTTTCAACTGTGAGTTTTTTTCCTTTTTTTCGTTAATTTAATTACTTTGTCCTAATTATTGTACATATTGTATTATTTTATTATAAAAAGTTTTTTTTACGTTGTGTTACGCAAGGGTCCACGTTTTTTTGAGTGTAATGTGTTTCGTTGGTACTTGCAAATGATCTTTCACACTCTACCCCTGATTGAATTTGGAATCAGTACATAATTAGAACATTTTGATAAAAAAATACACTACGGTTGTTGTAAGACATTCTTTCAGATCACATACTTTTTCAAAAGCTTAAAAGAAAACGGCTTGTTCAGATTATCTCTTGTCTTTCTTGGGGGGTCCAAGAACCTTTGACACGCGTACCTCTTTTATAATAATCAAGAAGCCCGCAGTTCTTTAGTGGAGTGTGTATAGTCTATCATTTGTTCCTTACTCTATTAATCTAATAACTCGTTTTCAAATTTCATGTTAATCAGGATACTTTTACTAAATGAACTGGTCTTTATGCGCCGTAATAAAGAGCACCAGGGTAGTGTCTTCCTTGTCTTCGCGAGAGAAGCAGTGCATTTTACAATTTCTCCAATGCGGTGAATAAGTCTCTGACGAAACTATACGTCTACTAGTAGAAAAACAGTCGCAAATAGCCGCTCACTGTAAAACATATGTTTTTTTCTTCACATGGGGTTGATAGAGATGAAGATATAATAGAATAATTTGTGGACACCTCACAGGCCACCAGTTTTGCAATGGGCGGCTGCATGCGATAATTTGCGTGACTGTTTTTCTATTAGAAGAGCAATAGTCACCCAAAGTTCAAGAGATTAAGAAGGATTGGGATATGCATCACGCAATTGCAATTGGATCTTTCGGAATATTTCATAGTATATGCAACTTGCATACCTCTTTACCTGTACTATCTCATTAAATGTCAAATACTATCCTAATGATGGCATATTTTTTATAGAATCTCTGCCAACCGACTGTTTATGAAAATTCCTATAATTTCACGCGTCGTTACCTAAACAGACAAGGTACCTACCTACTAGTCTAATATTTCCTCTGTGGTAACCGACTCTATGAAAGTGCCTTCTTATTAGGTATTTATTTGTTTCAAAAACATTTAACAAAATCGACGTTTTCTCCAATCGACAGTTGACTGTCACCTTTGGAGGATTTGGAAAATTGCATGGTGGAACGTCTTGTACACTACAATCGGACCGTTTGTACCGCCAGGTAAAGAGTTGGTTACTTGCTGAAAGTGAATCTCGAAAGATGGCTGAGAATTTGAATCCAGAACAAACCGGGCTTCAGGTTTCTCGCAACTTATTAGTTCCAATTTGGTTTATTTACTGGAAATAATTACCATTGTACCGCAGTGTCCAAAACTACCCTTATAACTTAGGGTTTTGATAGCTAACAAAAGCACAAATTAATTGTTTTTGACCTTTTTACTATCCACTCCAAGCATAGCGCAATGAAACGTTTTGCACCTTGGACCTCAACACTTCCGTGGTAACAATTTGTTTAAATATGAGCACGCTAATCTGATAATACTACGAAACGAAATTGTTCGCTTACGCTTTAAGAGGTTCGCACCATTCACGGTCGTCGCCGTCCATTAGTTTTCACTACACGACTAAGTTTCCTTGTTGCATACAAAAGTCTCCTATTATTGGTTGTGTGTTTCAAAAATGAAAAATTTGTTCTAGGGTTTCATAATAAACTAAAAATATCCTACACATAAAGTATCCGAATCTATAAAATTACCTACGCCGACAACAGTGAAGGGTGACGGGCTTTGACAGCTACTGTTTTTTACACAAAGAGCTTGAACAAAGACTGAGAGACGACACATGATATCAATAGTCGGAACACTATTGTGTCATAAAATAAAATAAGTTTAACTATGTGGTTAAAGAATTAGCAAAACCCACATGCAAGTGCTGAATATTGACGACAACGCCTAGTAATCGAGATTCTATTTAAGACACAAATTAATCCTAGGCATCTGGGGCGATAAATTAGACAGGCTTGTAAATATTGAAAAGTATAAATTGTGGAGATAAAGCGCATTTTTTAAATTCTTCACCAGTAGATGTGTCTCGTCTAGACGATCTTTCCACCTCTTCAGACAATCCGCTCTTGAGATATAGGGAATTAATTATCACAGGAGGATTATTGTATGGTAGAAATTAATTTAGACGTTAAGTTCAACAAAATTTGATAACCTTCATATAAATTGTAACAAATTCCATTTTTACCGAATTAATTTGTAAAGTAACTATTGGGGCCAAAAATTTGAGGATGATGCCAGAAAAGTTCGAAAAAGCTCATAAATATTGATCGCCTTATACTTTTTGTTTTCTTACTTGTCAAACTGACGTGAAGTTGTCAGGTGATTTAACAAATCTGATTTGTCAAACTCAATACCAATACATAGGGGTCTGTAAGATCCATTATGTTGCCTATAATTGAGCCGTTTTCAAACGTTGTTATAGGCAATTATGTCGCAACATGAAGATCCATTGTTGTATACAATATCTGACCATTAGTATAATAAAAATCGTCATGAAAGGTCAATGATTACCTTATAAAGGGTAGGTAGAGTTGGCGCTGCTTTCCTCAAACCCGCCGCATAAACGGCCATCTGTCTCAGAGTAAAACACAGAATAAGAGCTTAAGAATCTTCCACAGCGGTAGTTCGATCTGGGTAAACTTATATTCTTAACTTTGGTACACTTATCAAGGGTTGAGCGCCACACAACTTCTAATTTAACTCTCCCCGCATAAAATTGAGTACAAACGGGAGTAAAATCAATTCAAGCACCAAAATAGATGATGGCTTATTGTCATTAACTGGCAAAATAAAAATTGTCTCCCCAATGGGATAGCGTAACATGCAAATATTCTACTGTTCAAAATTATAACTTACGTCACACACACAAATTTAGATGAGAGAGAGAGAGAGAGAGAGAGAGAGAGCATTTATTTCAACCACGAATGTGGTGTAACTGTCACACAATAACAACATAAATAAAAAACACAATAAAGTACAATAAATAATATAAATATATCTATAAAAAAGAAATGTAAATAGGTATATATATTAAAATTTATTTATATTTTTTTTTTTTTAAATATGACTAGCATTTTTGATATTCGTAAAGAAATCATCCAGTGTGTATAGCACCATTGATTGAAGAATTTTTCTAATTTGGTTTTTAAAAGGAGCCAACATTGTAATACATTTGACATGTGCCGGAAGGACATTATAAAATCTCACCCCCATCTGTAGGTAGGACGAGTTATGCACCTTACTTTTTGATCTCATTATAGAAAAGTTATTTTTCGTTCTCGTATTATATGAGTGGTTATCACAATTTAATGAAAATAATTTTTTGTTTTTGAACACGAAACATAAACATTCAAGCACATATAATGAATAGACGGTTGCAATCTGAAAGTTTTTAAAATACGGTTTGCAGGATTCCCGTTTCTGTAGCGAAAACATTACCCTGATTGCTCTTTTTTGAACCTTAAATATGCTAGCAATTCTATAACTAGTAGCATTTCCCCATAATGAGATACCGTACCGCACCTTACTTTCAAATATTGAATAGTAGATTTGCAAAAGGGTTTTATGGTCACATAAATTTTTACAACGGGACAATGCGAAAATCGATGAATGTAATTTTGCTCTCAGATGGTCAATGTGATCTTTCCAACTAAGTTCTGTGTCTATAATAACTCCTAAGAAGGTACAGGATTGACACCTTTCTAATTGAACTGACTGGTAACGCAGTGGAGCGATATCCAAACCCATATTTTTCTTATAAAGAAGAATTTTTGTTTTTTCCAAATTGAGCAAAAGTTTATTTGCATTAAACCAATTAATAAGAGTTGATAACGCACGTTTTAAATTAATTTCTAACTCTTCTTCAACACAAGCCACACTCACACTAGTGTCATCTGCATATGTGGTGATATCACATGAAGATGGATCGAAGCAGTTAAATAGGTCATTAATAAAGATTATAAATAATATAGGACCAAGGATAGATCCTTGGGGTACACCATACTTGATTGGTTTTAATTCGGATGCAACTTCAATAATTTGTCCCGAGGAAGCAATTTGCTCAACTGCAACATATTGTGACCTATCACTAATAAAGGATCTCAATAAATTTAGCGTCACGCCTCTAATGCCATATGAGTATAGCTTGTCCAGTAACAAGTCATGATCAACCAGATCGAAAGCCTTCGACAAATCACAACTTATCGATGCTACAACCTTGCCATTATTATGCGCAGTGCGTATGTAGTGTAACATACTTTGTAAAGCTGTGGTAGTTGATTTATTTACTCTATAGCCATGTTGTGAACTATTAAACAATTTATGGGTTTCCAAAAAGGCAATTAATCTAACTTTTATGAGAGATTCTAGTATTTTCGATACGGAATTTAAGATCGAAATTGGTCTATAATTTTGTGGTTCTGATTTAGATTTTGATTTGTGAAGTGGGTTAATTTTTGCAATTTTACCATGGCTTGGAAAAGTCCCAGAAGAGAAAGAAAGGTTAATTAAGTAAATCAAAGGTTGATATATTTCATCAAACACTTCTTTATATATTTTTATAGGAATACCATCGTGACCGCAAGCTAACGTATTATTTAAATTATTTACAATATTGAACAATTCAGTTTTTGTGACAGGCAGCAAATAGAAAGAATTTGGTGATGATGGGATAACTTTTGTAGTTTCGTATGTTGGAGGTATGTTTTTTCTACATTCATGCGCAACGGAAGCAAAATAGTCATTGAAAATATTAGCAACGTGTTCAGAATTAGTAATAACCTTGCCATTTTGGTTTAAAGAAATAGATGTAGTTTTTTTGTTTGTTTATTTAGGTTTTTATTTATAATTTGCCACGTGGATTTTATTTTGTTTCTCGAATTCATTATAATTCTTTTAGTTTGCATTTTTTTTGCTTGTGCAATAACTTTTTTAAATATTTTATTGTAGCGCTTGAAGTGATCAGTGAAATTTGATTGAGGATTATTTCGCATATTTATGTAAAGCTTCCGCTTTACCTTACTAGAAGTTCGGATTCCTTTTG